AAGATCCCTTGGGAATGATGTGCTTGTACTTTGAAGTTTTTTCAATGTTATTCTAGATAAGCAGGTTTAATATAAAATCTACACGTCACCTAGGTACAATTTACACATTCACGTGATTTATCCTGGGCACCAGCTTAGTGTCTGTCATCTCTGGTGAATGTCTCATACCTACCAGCCAGCTTTCTCTGCAGCACCCTGCACAGTTCACCACTGTAGGGAAGGGTTGATAGAGAGCTGGCAAGCAAAGCTCAGGTTTGCACTAGCGCAAGGGTTCTCTAAAAAGGTTAAAGAGCAGAATCAACCTGCTTTATTTTGCCATGGTGGGGAATATGCCTGTTGTCTTGGGTAAATCATGCACAACTTCACTGCTAATCACCACTAGAAACTTAGAAAGCAAACACAAAAATTAGATACCTGTTTGACTTCAGTTCACAAAGGTGTGTTTAGGTCTGTTTCTAAATATAAATATTTTCATTAACCATGCAATCCTCTGTTTAATTGCTTACATTAATTATTTTTTCTTAGAGAGGAACCTCAAACCTGCATGGGAAGGTCATAGGTGGGCAGGGCAGAAGTGTGATTCCAGGCAGATCACCACATTTGGTTCCTCTTTCTCAGCCCCAAATACCAATCCTACAAAGATTGGTATTCTATATCATCCTACACTGGGGATGTCTGAAATCCAGGGCCAGGGCTGAGCTCCAGGATTCAAGACATTGTGTGATCTCTAAGAGCAGAGTGAAAGAGAACCCTAAAAGACAGAAATGCCTGAGATAAGACTGTAAAAAGCTAAGGCTGGTTAAATGCCCATAATCTCTCATGTGTAAACAAATAGTTAAATTTCTGTCAGGGAGCAGCATGTTCAGTTTTCTGAAGAAGCCATATTTCCCAGAAGGAATTACATAAATATTTATGAAAATAAAGCAGGAAATATTTTCCCAGGGTAGGACACTGTTCAGCACTACATCAGGTCAGCAGAAGCTGGGGTTTATTTTGTCAGTCTTCCCCTGGAACTGAATCATTGCCCTCTTGTTTGCAGAAATCTGTTCTGACACAGGAAGAGGCTGCACTTAGATAAACAGAATTACAAACCACACGGAGTATTTCACTTTCTATCACATCTGTGAACGCATATCTGAGCGCCTTACTATTTTGAACAGCTTCTCTGAGTGATTGCATGGAAAATAACAATAGGTATCTGTCTCAGGCTTCTCGGGAAATCTGATGCCATGTGAGTAAAGTCAAAGGCATCTTCAGTAGAATTAAAAGCCAGCAGACTGACTGTCAGAGAAGCCTTCACAAAGAAAGCGTTTATGACTTGTTCACGATGAGCCAGTAAATTCTAGTAAAGTGCAAAAGCTAGAAACATGAAGTTGCATTGCAGTGCTACCTGAGTGAGCAGAAGTCACACACAATTGAGGTAGGTTTAACAAACAGGGTACAGTGTCTGTTCAGTAGGACATCTCATAAGGAGTCCAGCAGCTCTCTCAATTTATGGTCTGCAGCCCAAGCTCCTTCTGAGATCTCAGTACTGACCTGCCGCCCTTCTGCTCCCTGAGCACCAGCTCTCTCCATATCCCTCCAGCCTCACAGCACACACTTCCAGCTGGAATCACTTTTTCTGTTTAAGGGCTAAAAGAAGAATCTAGGAGGGGATAAAAGGGTGAAAGGAGAGGTAGGAATAACCCCAAAAGGGGTTGTCAGCTCTAAAGCTGACCTAAGTTACTCCAAATCTGCCATCCCCGAGTCAGACCCGGGAACATTCAAGATCATCTCTCAAGGTACCAAACTCAACAGAGTCAAACTCTGTAGGGAAGCCAAGGAGATCACAGCTGAGAGGGGAACATCTATTCCTACACTGCTGGGCTGCCCCTTAAGTATTTAAGAAAAAAAATCCTAATATCATTAGAGTCCTATGAATGCTGTTTACTGAATGTAGAAACAAGGAGATTTTGGAGATTGTTTGTCCTTGTTCAGTTCTTTTTTTGGCAGCTATTTGGGGCATATTAAGGTCTAGTCATTGCTTATATCTTACTCAGAGAAATAACACTGGTGGAGCCTTGTGTTTACAGGCTTGAGCAGACAGTGCATGGTGTCAAAACCAAAAATGACATTTTACAAAACACCCTTAGGTTTACTTTCCTGCCTCCACTTGGCAAACCACACAGTACCACTTTCCCTCTTCCATTCTCTCTAAGCTTTGCCATGATGATTGATGTATCCATTATGACATCCTGATACACTCCAAATCATCATGATCTGTTATACCATGAGAATAGAAAGCCGTGTAGGAACCCAAAGCAAAGAAATACTTTCCCTTCTTTCTTTTACTTCAGATGCCCCCAGGTTTATTACGTATACTGAGGTACAGGAAACAAAAGTTCTCCGTAATACTAAATTTGGTTTAGAAAGGATGCCAGGAGATTCTCAGCATCACTGTCTGAATCAGTCCATGGTAATGGACAGGATGTGTTAACCTGGAGTTCACCCACAGAGTCTGGGAATCTATGAATAATTTAAATTGGCTGTAGAACTGGCCACCTTCTGATGAGCACCATTTTAGGATGTTGTCTGTACTCCTTATCATTTATGACTTACTCCTTGTCATTTAACTACTAACGTGTGCATAACCAAGTGAAGGTAATACCAATGACCAAGGAAGTGCCTGGGCTCTGAGTAGGATTAATACTACAGGAAGGTTACCTGACTACTGCTCAGCTCAAAGCAACAGAATATTTCAGGATTTTCCTTTTTTGTCTTCTGGTGGTTTCCTTGTAGAACATTCACGCCTTAGGAAATGTTTGTTTTATGTCTTTTATGTCTGGACAACACTGCTTAGCTTGTTTTTCTCCCTTGCCTACAGACATTTCTCTAAGCCCGATTCAATAAGAATTAACATGCACAATAGGCAATGTGCCTCATTAAATCTCCATCAGCAGTGAAGTTGCTTGAGGATTTTTCAATGAACCTGATTTGATAAATACTGATCCACCAAAACCCAAAATTTTTGTTCTACTATATCTGTTGTGATGGATTTCCTGTTAAGGAAGATTTTCTAGCCCCAGGATGGGATTTCTGGTCGAACATACAAGAAGACGTAACTGATTAACAAAAAGCCCTGTAATAACAAGATAACCTTAAGGCTGCATTGCAAACTCTGGTTTGAGTTAGGCAGAGAAAGCATTTGAATCTGGATCTCTTACATTTTGAGTAAGTGGCGTCATTACCAAGCTCTTGGATATATTAAGCTCTGTTTCTCACTATGTGTTTAGGGGTTTTGTGACTTTTATTGGAGGAAAAAAAATTGTAGGGTTTTGATTTCATTTCTAATGTGGAATGAGAACATTTGAAAATGATCGTAATAGCAGTATTCAAAAACATTGTCTGCTTTGTCCCAGTCAGTAACTTAACTGGTTAAACAAATGGATTCCTGTCTCACTTACACTTACCCCCTTTTATCACTGATAAATAACAAAGAACTCACTGCAAGTCTCTGAGTATATTGGAGCAGATAGCATCATTCACGTCACTTTGGCAACATTTCCCCAAATGCCTCCTCCAAAGCTAAGTACACTAACTTCCCACTCCTACGCTCTCTATTCTTGCTCTTACATTGACCTTCTGCTCACAAAATGGAAAGTGAAGAGAAGAAAAAGATAAATAAAACAGATTTACAGTGTACAAGTCGGAGGCACAGTGCCCAACGCAAATCACAGAGGAACAAGTTTATTCCTGGTACAACTGTATCCATCTCTAATCCCAGCTTTCGCTTTCCTCCCCCTCTAGCTGTGGTGTATCTGTTATCAAGGCCACATTTGAAGGTGTTAGTTAGATAACATTCTTTAGCACTGAGACCACTGTTTATTTCTGAAAAGTACTGCATACAGTTTAACAAAAAAGAACAGTGTTTTGAAAAATGGGACAGTCTGTGACCAGGCTAGAAAGAAAGAGGGAGAGGAGTCTCCTGACCCCTCTTGGGGCTTTGGCCAACAGTTTATCCCATATGAAAGCTTGAAATCAAAGCCTTTCTGCAATACCTTTAAGAAAAGGCATCCACTTTTACATCCCTGCTGCTACTTTTTCTGTCTACTGGAAGACTAAAACATTGTGATGCTAAGGAACTGATACTCTTAAATAACAAGGAGAGCACCTCAAAAGCTATTATTATAGGAAACATATTTTTTGAAAATAGAAAGCAAATGTGCCCTCACTCAATAGGCAGTTCAACAGAGTTGCTCAGCTTTTTGAGTAGCTGTCTCCTTTGTTGTGTAAGAAGCCAGAAGTTAGCGAAATTCCTGGAAAGATTATAAATACCCATCTCCCCTCTCTTTACTGCCTGGCTTCCTAGAATAATCTGCCGTCCCTGGTTACTATGTTCTCCATAAGAGAAAGCCAGAGGTTTTTCTAGGAATGGAAAAAGCATACAGATGGATAGCTGTCACAGTTCCTTCCAAGAGGATGTATAGCGGTGCTGCATGCTACCTTGGGGCCTGTGCTGTATCACTGTCCTGATATATCGTCTCTGCCTGCTAGAAAGTAGAGGAAAAAGGTGGTATGAAAGGATGTTCTGCAGTCATTTAACCTCGTGCTACTTTGGCTTTAATCCTGAAGTTTGTCCTTTTGTGCTGTGCCTACTAAAATAATTCGGGCTTGAACCAACCATTGTGGAAAAATCTGTAAGCACAAAACCATCATTTGTGGGTTTCTGGCTCAAGCAACCATTGGTAAAATCAGCTTTTCGTCCTCCACTATGGGAGCTTTTGGTAGATGGCATCCAAAAGGAAATCACACCAGTGACTTCCACCCACAGCAGACTGGTAGCTAGTCCCTTGTCACAAAAGGTCTCCTTGGAAAAAAGCTCTTGTGGTAGTCTCTACACATTACAAGGAGTCTGAGTTACTCTTCCAGAACAGAACCAGCCACAAGTATCCTATAACTAATTAGTACTCACTTGGATACAATACCACAGTCTTTTGTCTCTTGAGTAAGTGAAAAGCTGGGCATGAAGAATCAGCAGGGAAAGGAAAAAAAAAAAAATGACAAAAGAGATTATCCCCATATATTGAAGAAATTTTCCATGGCAAAAGCAGCTAAACATCTCACAGATAAGAGATAAATTGGAATAAACAGCTGTCAGTGTTAAATAAATATCCTGGATAATGTGCAGGACAGAAATAACTACAGCATCGTCAAACTCCTTTCTTCACTTTATTTAGCTGTTCGTGCATGTAGCTCCCAATCTTTGCACTGCTTCAGTTAGCGGAGCATTTATTTTTGAATCAGCTGCATTTGTTAAGACTGTAACAACGAAAGGCATTTCCTGAGAAGCTACAAGGATGAGCTGCAAGAAAGAACAACAGCTAAGGAAATGCGGGACCCTAGTAGTGCTTTTCATCTTCCAAGTTCAGATTTTTGGTTTTGATGTTGACAATCGACCTACAACAGATATCTGCTCGACACACACAATTTTACCTGGACCAAAAGGTGAGGAATATGAGGTTACTAATGCTGAGACCAGTACTGATAAAGGCTGATTTTTTTAAAATAGATGTGAAACGCTTGTGGCACAGGCTGGGGATGAAAGATCTAAATTACTGCAGACTGTACAAATGTCTAGAAAAGTGAAACTGTAGTGGGGGAAAGTGATGAAGCAAGGAGATTTGAATTTGCTTTTCTTTAGTTTCAGGAATTGTCTTGCATATTCTCATATAAATTAAAGTTGTCCTTTTGCACCTTTCTGCAGCCACATAAATCTTCTCTTACTTCTTGTATTCATCACATAGCCGGTACAGGTATCAGCCATAAATTGAGGAACTTTGTCTGAAAGTAAGCACCTATTTTGAACTGTTGATGGTTCACTTTGCATATAGGTAGAGAGAGAAATGCAATGTCTAAAATGATTGTATTGACATCATTGCCAAATGCTTACCTGTAAACAGAGTTCTGCTGCATTCATCAGACCTGATACAGAAGCTCCTGTTGAATTAAACAGCACCTTCACTGCAGACCTCAACAAGAATTAGATCAGCTCTCGCATGTGCTGTTCTTTTGTCTTCAAAATTCTTTGCAAATATCTGAAACCAAATTTTCTGCATTAACTTACTTTTTGGGTAACATAACTAATGTCAATGGAATTGCCTGGAGGGTACCTCAGCCAAAAATTAGGACCATGACATACAAATCTATCTTGCAATGAGAGATCTAAAATCTATATTCCACACCATGGCTACTGCAGTTCGAACTATTGCTTTCTTTTTAGTAATTCATTGTATTTTTCTATAGGCTACGGATTGAGAGGAAAAAAAATTGCAACTGATTTAAATTTTAAGCAGAAAAAAGATTATCAAGTCTAAAGCATTGCTCCAGACTCATTTGTTTTTATGATGGATTATTCAAATGCATGTTGCTTAAAGGACCATTTTTAATCAGCAAATTAATTTCTTTATGATTACAAACCAAGCTTAAACTTTTGCTGCCACAGCATAAATGTAGAGAGATGTAATGATTCCCAGGGGAGCTAGTGGGAGTTTGTTTAGTTAGTACATGAATAATGGCAGGCTGGAGAACAAAGTTTGACAGAATTGTGTTTAACAAGTCATGAGGCTAATGAGGTGGTCTTGTGACAACGTGAGAGTAGTTGGGACTCCAGGTGGTTTCTGTGGTCTATCTGGGACAGGGAGCACTTAAAGGTTAGATATCATGATTCTTTGCAAGTGCGGTACTGAGAAAGTCAGTATATATCCATTTCCAGTCCTACTGCCCCCTGGCTGATGCTGCAATGGAGGAGCCAAAAGTGTTGGCAGGGTCCTCACTACTACTGTAAAATTAGATTACCATAGCCAAGATCCATGATTGGTAAAAGGAGTGTAAATGAGCTCCAAGTTACTGGCTCAAATCCATTGCAGGTCATCAAATACGTTTTGCAGTTTACATGATACGATCCTATAGCCTGATTTCAGGTCCTACCAGATCTGAGCTCATCCAGGGCAGTTATAAGCTGAAGAGCTGGGCAACTAAAGACAGAGCTGGCTGGGTGTGTGAACTACTCTGCTACTCCTCAGGCATCTCTTGCAGTTAGTGATGAAGTTTGCTGGCCTAATATGGCAGAAGCCAGTCTGTCCTGCTGCCAGTTTTCCTCTATCCATCTTTTGTCTAAAGACTCAGAGCACAGTCCCCAGCCTAGGACCACACAACAGCTACAGGCAACACTTCGCTGCCCAGACTTTAACCCTGACAATGGACAAGGCTCAGACTTCCATTGCTGTAAGGTTTATTTTCTGTGCTACATTTGTTGTGCCCTTTTGTCAAACATTCTCCCAGATACAGGTTTTGACCCACACTGCACAAGTTCCTCCCCCTCACCTCCCGTTTGCTCGGTGGTGTCACAGCTATGGTGGTGTCACAAGTCAGAGGTCAGAGGTGCTGGGCTCCCACAGTATCTTCCCACCACCACAAGCCAGATTCCTGTTGTGGCAACTTCATCCCTCCATCCAGACATTAATGGGATACATTGAGGATCTTACGGGACCAAGCACCGAGATGTGCAAGGAATTCAAAGATATTAAATAGTTTTGCAAAGCTGTGGTGGCACAAACTTCCTTGTGGGATAGATCCACTCTGTGGGCCACAAGTGGGATCGGCCTTGGTACCACACAGCAGCAATGCTGCTCTTCCCATCACACAGCACCACGGAGAGGAGGCTAAGGGAGGAGAGAGGATGAACCCTTACGTTCCTGCACTGTTGAAGGCTGCAGTACTCACTTCATCATTTAGGCATTCATAGTTAATACAGGAGCAAGCACTTGACCTTCCTGCATGTTCACTCCAAAGATCACCTGTTCAGAGTCATCGGTGTCATTGCTTGTACCAACTACTCGTAACTTTTCCAGATAATTTGTGTAAGCCAAGCTCTTCCCCTTCAAAAATATAGCCTTGTTTATGCTCTGACCTGAGAGGTCACAAGAGAGGTATGATAGAAGTGATGGGATGAAAAGAAAGGGTAATTCCAGGCTGATCACCAGGGAAGTCTTCGAACCAGTTGTGACAGACCCAGCAGTCTCCCAAAGTGTGTCAGCAGAACCACAGAACATGAAGAGCTAGAAAATACTCTGGAAGGACACAATCTCATAGGAACAGGAGAAAGACAGCAGACATCCTGTAAGTCTTTTGCACTTTCAGTTGCTATGATGAAAGTCTGCCTGAGTTAAACTGTTCAGCATTTAGAAATGAATAGGGGTTTCAGCCTGACCCCTGGTGGTTATTTGCGATCCAAACCGGATCACAAACCCCTCCATCTATCTGCTGCTTTTCCTTTCCTGATGCAAGAAAATGAATGTTGAGGTCTATTTTTAAAGAATTATGCAAAGAAATTTTGCAAATTTTCACAAATGTAAAAGAGAAAAGCAAAAGCTGGCCCTCCTCTCCCAGTTTCCCTTTCTACGCAATGCTCAGGTCACTTCTCAAAAAGAGGGGAATTTTTTAAAGAACCCTGGTGCAAAGGCTGTCTTGTCCTGGCTCCTTGAGAAAGCTTTTTAGGTACATGGCAAATTGTCTTTTATAGAAGTTAAAAATAGAAATCTGAGAAGCATTTTCTGTGACCCTTATTGAAATACTGAAAAAGAAGCAAATTCATGCTTTGGACCCATATATGTGTCCAGCATTTGTAACTAGTGATTTTTGGTGTTTGACATGAGACATTTAAGAAGAAATTGGATTTAGCTGGGCTGATTTGGTGAAGTACTTCTGAAAATTTAGTTTAGGTAATGCTTATCCACAGCTGGCTAACTAGGACAGTAAAAACCAAATTCTGAACTCCATTAACTTCTTGGGTACAAACAGAACCAGATCTAGCATAAATAATGCAATGAATTTCCCAGGGTAGCCAAGTGCTTTGACTAGAAACATCAGTTATGGCCCCATTGCTTACTTTCAACCCTTCCAAGCCTGGAAATAGGCTGGGGGATGCTGATCCCGAGAGAGGAACCAGAAACTATGGGAAGGCAGCAGCAAACACTGTGAGAGGAAAAGCACCAGCTGTCAATCCATGCTCCAGCCTGAGTAAATCAATAAGCAACAACATGAGGGCAGAAATAAACTGAGAGCCCAAAACTTTGATGACTAAACTCCTAACAAAAGCTTGAGCAGGGGGAGAAGAATAAGGCTGGCATTGCAGAAGTGCAGAGCAAGGCTCGAGCTGATTTCACATGAATTTGGGGGAGTGTCTGAGCATTGACTCCAGATTTTGCTGTCTTGCTATCTTGCTATCAGGTCCCAGATCACTTCCTTTGAAATCCAGACACAGGAACTTCAAAGGCCTTGAATCAGGCCCAGGTTGAGAAACTGGAATGAGATGAAATCTGAAGAGTATTGGGAGTTTCCCATAGCAATTCAGATGGAAAGCATTTCCTTACTATTATTGCTGACAAATGATGTTTATAAACTCTATGACTTTGGCTGGCTCCTCAAAATAGCATTTACTGTGGTCTCCAGTATAGCTGTCCATCTCTCAGCTTTAATTGTGCTTACGCAATTCCACTCCTGGAAAATCTAAAACTCTCTCAGAAACCAGATATGCTGCTATCCACATTTTCTTCCGAAAATATAAAGTGCCTTACCACATCCTATAGACTGTTCAAACCTACAACTAAGCTTCCCTCTTAGCACCTCACATTTGATCTGAAGAGCCCTTTATAATCAACACATAATTCTATTTTGTCATGAATTTTAGCCTTCATGTATTTTAGCACATGTTAAGTTTCTGATGTTTATCAGCCTGAGTTATAAAGCATATATGTGGGCACTTAAATACAAATTCAGAAGATATCAGGTCTGTATTTCTTATTCATGTTGGTTTGATTCCTCACCCAAATCACCGTAACCCATGGGTCTTTGAGATCACATCATAACGGCAAGGGATCAGGTGGAGAAGCTTAAATTGGGACAGATCAAGTGAAAGATGAATCAGAAACAATTTAAATTATTTCTGTGTTATTAAAGACACAATATATGTCCCATCTGTGCACAAAGGCCCACACTTCCAAGTAATCCAGATAAGCGGAGCTTCACAGAACCAAGTGAGGGTCTGAGTGTGGCTCATGCAATGCAGTAGAAGTGGGTATTTCTAGTGAAGACAATATCTCCTTATAAGTGGAAAGCAGAAAAGTGAGCAGATAATCCAATTTATTCCTGAAGATTCTTTCCATTTCACCAGGGAAGGTGACTGGGGCCCTGCTGTCTAACTTGGAGCTGGGTAAAGAAAAGAGTAACCAAGAAATTGTGAGCAAAACACTTCTATTCTCATAATGCAACCTGTGGAGCCTTGCATGTTCCCTGCAGGGCACTTGGAAGAGAGGCTATGGGTGAAGTTACACACTACAGCTGGACTGATCTGTTGGGTTTTTTTCTCCAAAAGGGGAGGCCCAATATCTTTTTCTTCCACCATTCAGACTGCATGATCTTACCTTCACCTTGCGCTGGCTCGGCTG